GACAAAGAGAATGATCACCATATCCATCAGGCGGGCTAATAACGTTGAGGCGATGACGGTGATTATGATCGTATCCGGCGAAGATGAGCCCCCGCCCTCCGCGCCTCCGCCCCGTCGGTCACATTATCACCGCCGTGCTCGTGCGGAGAGGTGAGAAGAATCGCGGAAGGGGTCATTTCCGCGCCGCATCTGTATTCACATCGCCACCGTGGCCACTGCGAGTAATGGCGGCAACGCACCGCGCAAACGCTGCTGCTGCTGCTGCTGCTGCTTATTGGCAGCGCGCAGCTCGACCCGACCCGCACCTAAATGTCACACGCGTCAACGCCCCCCGCCACCCCCAGCCGCGTGAAATTTTCTTCCGATTCCCAAACACGTTATAGGTGTGCTGTGCGCACAAATATTTTTTTAAAAACCCGCAAAATTACTGTCGAACAGCTGAGCCTATGACGCAGGTCGACGCTGAAAATGATAGTCCTACGATTTTTTTCTACTGTTGAATGTATTTCTACTTTTTGTTGTCGAGTGTGTGATTTTACATGGAGGCAATTTTTACCCTGAATTTAAAATGATCTAAAAACGGTCGTTAAGGTGATTTTACAATATATTTTTTTAAATACATGTTTAAGTTTACTTTTGTGTGTGTCTGTCTTATGTGTGTACTTACCGGCCGGGCCCGCATGCTGCCGAGATGGTTAATCCAGAGGGGTGGCTGGTGCGTGGTGCGCGGGGCTGAGATCGCGAGTGGCGCCCCTCGCCGCCCCTGCGCAGCTTTTATACTGCGCCCCACCTTCCCCCCTGGACCTCCTCACGGAGAACAGCTAGAACTCCCCTTCGGAGAGGAGCTCCTCCTTCTCCTTCTCCTCGGACGCGGATGGCAGCGCACGCGTACCGACACGGGGAGGCACGCGCGTGCGTGTGGTGGGGGCGGCGTGCGCGCGCGCGCGCGTCTGCGGCGGGCGGCGGCGGCGTTGGGATAGGGTAGGGTTGTGCGCGCGCGCGTGCGGCTGACTGGGATCTGTTCTGCCATCCCCACACCCCCTCGTAATACCATAGTAGTAGTGGTGATGATAACTTATGCGGCATCTAGAATATTTAAATGGGCGTGCGAATATGTAACCCTTTGTCTGCGCTTGTGTGTGTGTGTGTGTGAAGCACGTAATGGCACGCGTTGACGAGCAAGTCGGACACCGTGTTACATGCCGGCGCCCAAATCGCTTCCTAGACACGAGTATGTACTAGTACACATGCGTGTTCGAGTGCGTTAACGGTGGGCGGCTGCGGCGGCTGCCCCGCTTCGTGGGTGGAAGACATCGATTTGGAGGTTATGTGTACCACTTTTTTCGCCTTGGCGCCGCTTCGGATACGCTGCCTGCTTCCCTTGCCCTGGCGCCTCGGCCAGGTGCAGCTGGCGGGGTCGCTCGTGGAGGAGGAGGCGATGACGGACGTGATGGTGGTGGCGATGGCGCGCGTCCACGTGATCGGGTCCGGTGGTGCGTGTATGGTTCACCACCCCGGTGAGTGATGGCCGCTGGCCGTGGTGTGTCCGGGCCAGCAGCGGCAGCAGCTCGCGCGCGCATCCATTAGGTCGCCGGGGCCATAAATCAAGGCCTCCTGGAGCCTCTCCTGGAGTCGCCTGGAGTCGGTCGCCTGGAGGAGCCGCGGCGCGCTGAGCGGAGGGGCGTGGGAAACCCTTTGGCACATTTGGCACGGGTACGCTAATGCGACAGGCGCCGAGCGGAGGCGACCAGCAGTGTGAGAAGGGCAAAGGGCAGCGTCTCACAGGGATTTTTCCTGACCCTCACGATGGATCACTGTTATTTTTGGGTTCTCGGGAAACTATCGTCCATCGTAGATTTTTAAGTAATAGATAATTTTTTGCTACGTAAAAGTCTCTCAAGTTATAGTGCTTTAAATCGACTTTATAATGTATCTTTGGTTTGTCGCAAGTTGGCGTTTTCAATTAATGAACCGTTGAAGCCCGCGGCCGTTTGGTCCGGTTGTCTGCGTCGTCGTGAAGTAGGGGCGGGGGGTGGGGGGAGATTAACCCTTCCGCGGGAGAAATATACTGCTCGCTGCCGAAGCTGCCGTCGTCGCGTCGCCGACTCGGATGTGATCTGCGGCGGCGGTGGTGGGTCGACGCAATTAAAAGCGAATCGTGACGGAGAACCAACTACTTCTCTACCCTCCGGGATGAGAAATCCTCCCCGGGGGGCGCGGTGGCGGCGGCGGGTCGACCCCGCCACCTCCTCGCCCGGACCGGGAGTCGGATCCCCTGTCTGCTGGTATAGAGCTGCGTCCGCCTGGGGAAGGCCTACTTCATCCTCATCCTTCTCCTCATTCCATCATGTGTAGTAGCAGCAGGTCAGGCCGATGGGGATAAGGATGCATGTGGCGTGATACTCGTGCAGCCGTCGTAGGGTCGGCCACCAGGATCACGACGAGCACCACCACCACCGCCGCTACCACACCCAAGGAAAGACCATTCTTGGACCGTGTCCATTGACTTGTCCCTTAAATGTTGGATAATCGAAATAAATAGTCTCGCTTGACCTCTATGCGAATTCGCACTGCCCTACACGCAGAAAAATAAAATTCAGTTCCGTGCAAATCGGTTCAACTGCGCAATTTTACACCCGTGCAAAAAAGTTAGCTGGGTGTAAAAATATTTAGCTGTTGAACTAAGTGGCATTAGCTGCACAGGTAATAAACGGTGCGGTTTACTGGATAGCTAAAAAATTAACCCTGGTGCTAAATAAATTAGCCGAGTATATTCAGTTAATTTTTCAGCTGCAGTGCTAAAAACTTAGCAGAGCACTTTTTTTTTTCTGCGTGTGTACCAATGCACTTGATTCAATAAGAAGTGGGTGCACCTCCTCCACCACCACCACCACCATCCTGGCGGGGCAGATGATGATCGCCAGGACCCCGCCGTCATGGCCATAAACATCGCGATCACGATCACCGCCACCGGGAGCCCCCCGACAGACGCCGCCGTGCTGCTGGTAGGTGGTGCTAATTGTAATACCAGCTCATAGACGCTTCCGGAACATGTTTATTCTCCCCTCCCCCCAAACTCTTTTGCTCCCGCTCACACAAACACTCATGCTCTCTCTCTCTCTCTCTCTCTCTCTCTCTCTCTCTCT